GGTAGGTCTGGGTACTGCAAGCCAGAGTGTCATTGCCCCTGGCTGGTCCACCATATTTGCTGAGGCCTGGAAATGCCACATGGAATGACTTAGGAAATTCCAAAAACTTCTGGATAATTATTCCAAAGTTTAGGTTCCCTTCTGTTAGTGATCATACTCTCTAACATATTAAATTCCTCCTATTGCCAGTCAGCCCCAACTGAGAGATCTTGACATCTCAAACTAACTAGACTGCCACCAAGAATAGGAATTCCCCAGCTCATGATCGACTGTTCAGGAAAAGACATAAATCGACCAAACAAGAAACTCATCTATGCCAATACATGGGCTCTACTTGCCATGTTCAACTATTCCACTGTTGGAGACTGTCTGGAAACTCCAGAAAGAGAGAATTAACAGTTCACAGTTAACAAATGAGTGGGAACGTTTTTAACTGATCCAGCACTCCTGCCTGTCCTCAGCTAATTAAATAGGGGGGCTGGAGTAAAAGTGGTACCTGGGGACAGCAAAGTGGCGCACTGGAGAGAGCACTGGGTCTAGAATCAGGAAAACTTGAGCCTCAAATATTTACAAACTGCATGAGCTTAAGCAAGTCACTTAACCTCTGTTTGCCTCAATTTCTTCAACTATAAAAGGGGGCTAATAATAGCACCCACCTCCCAGGGTAGTTGTAAACATCAAATTGGTCTCTGTCATCAACACTGAGTTGGATATGGGTAATCTATACTCAGATATCCTTCTTTCCTCAACAGCCAAGTAATGTCTCACATCTATTGTCATATTTCCTATAAAACTCAACATCTGCAAGGAAAAAAAAAGAATAGGGGGAGCTAGGCATAAGGAAGAAAACAATACATTTAAGCATGTGACGCATATATAAGAGGAAGAGCTGATCCATAGGTAAGGGCCAGGTATAGATAGCTTTGAATGCCAGCCTAAGAAATTTGGACTTTTTTTTTTTAGGCAATTGGGGTTAAGTGACTTGCCCAGGGTCACACAGCTAAGAGTTATGTGTCTGAGGCTGGATTTGACTCCTGACTTCAGGGCCAGTGCTCTATTCACTATGCCACCTAGCTGCACCTAGACTTTATTCTTAAACAACGGAGAGCCACTGACACTTTTTGAGCGGCAGGACAATGGGTACAAAATGACATTTGAGAATGGGTACAGAGTAAATGGAGGAGGAGAAAAGCTAGAGACTGAATGAGGAATTAAAAAGTCATCTCAACAGATCAAGTAGGAATTAGAGTCTGGCCTAGTAGATGGCAGCAGGAACAGAAGATCAGGGATTTTGTGAATTTGGCAACTGACCGGATATAGCAAGGGAGATGGAAGGGTCAGGAATGACAGAGGCTTTGCAGGATAAATTGTTCTTGGTTATAAACCTACATCTTTTGCCTTTCAGAATATTATAGTCCAATGATCTCCTCTCATTTATATTAGAAGCTTTCAGGACTTACTGGTGTAATCCTAACTGGTCCTTTGATACCTAAAATCTTCCTTTCTGGATGCTTGCAATATTTTTTCTTTGATAAGGAAGCACTAGATCTTGGCTGTGAGATCCCTGATCCTTTTCCTTTCGGGATTTTTTTTAGGGAATAGTAATCCATGTGTATTTTGTATTTTTACTTTTTCCTCGGGTTCCAATAGATCTGGGCAGTTTTTATATAAGATTTCTTGAAATGTAGAACTATCTAAGCTTTGTTTTAATCATGGTTTTTTAAGGTATCTAATGATTCTTAAATTATTTCTCTTTGACTTGTTTTCTAGGACATAATTTTGAAAGCAAGCACCTTACATTTTCTTCTTTTTTTTTTCAATCTTTTGATTCAGTTCTATTCCTTGTTGCACCACGGAGAAATTGATTTCTTTTTAAACTATTCTAATTTTCAAAGAGTCTATTACTTTTCCTTTTTACTTTTCATTAATTTATTTTGATTTATCAACAATCACTTCCATAAGCTTTTGAGTTTTAAATTTTTCTCCCCCTTCCTCCCTAAGATGGCTCGCAGTCTGATATAAGCTATACATATACATTCCCATTAAACATATTTTCACATTAGTGATGTTGTCAGCAAGAATTAGAACCAACAGGAGGAACCATCAGAAAGAGGAAAAAACACAATAGAAGAAAAAAATAGCAAATAGTATGCTTCGATCTGCATTCAAACTCCATAGTTCTTTCTTTGCATGTGGATAGCATTTTTCATCATGAGGCCTTTGGAGATATCTTAGGTTCTTGTATTGCTAAGAAGGGTTAAGTCTATCAAAGTTAGTCATCACACAACATGGCTGTTATTGTGTACAACGTTCTCCTTGTTCTGCTCGCTTCACTTAGCATCAGACCATACAAGTCTTTCCAGGTTTTTCTGAAGTCTGTCTGCTCATCGTTTCTTACAGCACAATAGTATTCCATTACATTCCAGGGAGTCTATTACTTGAGTAAGATTCGTCACTTTCCACTAATGCATTGTTGATGGATTTATGAACTAATGCAACCATTCTGGAGAGCAATTCAGAACTATGTCTAAAGGAAAACCAAATGGTGCATACTCTTGAATGAGTGTTGTCTCAGACAAACTTAGACCTGGGAAAGACCTTAGCTTAAAAAGGCCAAGATCTCCCACTGCAGCTGTGGTCATCTCCAGTCATCTTGATCTCTGTCTTGCCACTGGACCCAGGTGGTTGAAGAGGAGAAAGTCAGACTTGTGACTTTGGACAGCCCTGACCCACTTAAATCCAATTCACTTACAAATCAAGACATCACCCTCCTAATGTCATTGGTCCTCTTCGAGAACAAAGGACAAATAACAACAACAACCACTAGGTTGTTGAGATCATAAAAAAGGGAAAAGGACCTACATGTACAAAAATATTTATAGTAGCCTTTTTCATGGTGGCAAAATACTGGAAATTGAGAGGATGTCCATCAATTGGGAAATGGTGAAACAAGTTATGGTATATGAATGTAATGGAATACCATTGGGCAATAAGAAATGATGAGCAGGCAGATTTCAGAAAAACCTGGAAAGACTTATACAAACTGATGTAAAGGGAAATGAGCAAAACCAGGAAAACATTGTACACAGCAACAATTACATCAGCAACATTGTATGATGATCAACTATGAATGACTTACCTCTTCTCAGCAACACAATGATCCAAGACAAGTACAGAGGACTCATGATGGAAAATGCTATCCACATCCAGATAAAGAACTGATGAACTCTGAATGAAGATTGAAGCATACTTATTTTACTGACTTTTTTTATGATTTTTTTTTCCTTTTGATCTGTTTCTTCTTTCACAACTGTGACTAATATGGAAATGTTTTACATAATTGCACATATATAACCTACATCATGTTGCCTACCATTTTAGGAAGTGAGGGAGGGAAAGAGAAAAATTTGGAACTCAAAATCTTGTAAAAATGAATGCTAAAAATTGTCTTGACATAGAATTGGGAAAAAACAAAATACTATTTAAGAAAAGACTTGTCACTTTCTTTCTAAGCTATTTATTCTTTTTTCATTTATTTCCTCCAGAGACTTTATTTCATTTTTTTAATCTTTTCATTCCTTTTAAATATTCATTTAATTCTTATAGAAAAATCATTTTCCCTCTAAGTCTCTACTTACAATTGTTAGGAAGCTACCCTGTCCTTCTAGGTTGGACTTTTTTTTGGTATCTTTGGATCTGTTATAATTCTTTGTATTTAATTGTATATTCTTGTGCTTACTCATCTCTCCAGACATAGTTCCTTAATTGAGAGTTTATTCCAGTGCCAGACCTGCCATGCTTTTAGTAGGCAATCCTTGGTCTCAACCTAAGTCATCTGAGTTCTTGCACTGACCTATAGATTCTCCTGGATCTTTGAGGTTCAGACCAATAGATGTTCAAGTTCCTATATTGTGTCTCAAGGGAAAGGGATGTTCCAGGACTGAGCACTACCATGATTCCAGACATAGCACACTGGTCATCATCACTCACAGTCACTTCCAACTTCTACACTGTAGGTTTCCAACCACTGTGGAGCTTTTTCAGGAGAATCTGCTACTCTCACTGCTTCTGAAAGTAGAACATGGCAGGTTACACATGTGTCTGGATGTTCTCTAAGTGTGCTGAGAGGCTACTGGTTTATTTGTCTAAGTAAAGTACAAGTGACATCTTTTCCAGTGTGTCCCCTTTCCTGCTGCCTATAAGTTCTGATTGACTTTTTGCATAGTTCTGGGGTAGAAGAATTCACTGTAGTTATTCACTGGATTTCTGGATCATTATGCAATCTAACACTATTTTTAGTTGTTGCTTTTTTTCTTGGCTTCTGTCAGACAGCTGTCTTAACTAGAAGTGTCAAGTTACTGAATTCTATCCTACTGTCTAGTCCTGGTCTCTGTCTCTCTGCCTTCACCAACTGCCTGTCAGTATTATGAACTGGATAATTCAAGTACATCCTGTTCAAAACAGAACTTAGTATCTTTTCCTAAAAATCCAACCCTCTTCCAAATATCCTCATTACTATCAAGAACATCTCCATCTTTCTGTCATCTCAGGTTTACAGCCTTGGTATCATCTTTGACCCCTCACTATCATTTACCCTACATATCCATTCAGTTGCCAAACCTTATAATATCTACCTCCACAACATCTCTCAAACAACTATAATCTTAGTTCAGTCCCCGATCATCTCTCACTAGGACTACTGCAATAATAATCTCATAATTGATCTCCCTGACCCAAGTCTCTTTCTGGCTCAATCCAATCACATAACTGCCAAGTGACTTTTCCTTAAAACATAAGTCTGTCCGACTATGCCACCCTCCCCCATCTCAATAAGTTCTAATAGTTCGCTCTTACCTCCAGGACCATATATCTCTCTTTGATATTTTTTATCCTCACCACTGCCTATAAACACAAACAGATTCATTTCTTCTGTGCTTCATTTATAGGAGAGCAATTCCTGAATCTTAATGCTTTCTTTGTTGTTTTTTTTTCCTACCCAGGAACAACATGGCTACAAGAGATTGTAGATATGATACACAATGATGGAGATGTTGAAAAAACAAGACGAGCTCCAATAAACATACGAATGCCTTTTATTGAAAGGATAAACTCGCGCTACGTTGGTAAGTTGAATATGAACAGTTTAAGAACACAACCTACAAATTACCCATAAATCCAATGACCACCCTTACACCATTTTAATCACAAACAAAAAGTTGTGGGAATATTACCCACAACTTAGACCTTATGATCTCAGAATTATACCACTTCCAAGATCTGGAACTTTAAATTCTATTCTCCATCCACACCTTTTCATCCCTTCACTTCCAACCTCTTACCTTCAATATGACCTATGGTCCACCACCCATCTCTGTCGTCTCTGTCTTCCCTACTCTGGCTTCACTTGCCTCCACACCAAGCCTTAGCCTCATGTTTTTCCTCTTAGATAATTCTTTGGACACTATCCTAGAATCATAGATCACAGGACTTCAAGGTCAAAGAGACCTTAGGCCAACCATCAAGACCTAGTTCAACTGTATGGTTTTACAAATGAGGCACAAATGCATAAAATACCAAAGGCCACATAGATAGTAAGCACCAAAGCCAAAATCTGAAAGCAGATCACCTGACTCCAAATGTCGTCCTGAGCACTACACCACGTCCCTGAAATTCCTGTGTTCTCAACCCCTTAACACTCTTCCCTCAATCACTCTCACTCTCTGATTTCTTTGTTCTTGCTCCAGGTCTTCTGGAGAAATTCATAAAATGGAACAAATTTCACCTATTTCAAATATTTAATACATAAACTCAACCAGGCCCTTTCTGCAGTTCTATGGTCTCCTCTAAATTATGTTTAGGGACTCCTTATCTCATTTGCATCAGCAATCATAACAAATCTTTTCTCCTCTTCTCTCCCACCACCCCCAACCACACTATCAGCTCCACTATTTCCATTCAATAACCTAGCATTCCACTGAGAACATTGAGGCCATTTTTGATGAGTCCCAATCCCAGGCTCCCCTACCCTATTCTTCATAACTTCTCTACTGCAATGCTGTCAAACTCAAATAGAAATAGAGGCAACTAATCAGCATGAAAAGTTCCCAGCTATTCATATTTTGGCTTAGTTCTAAAATGCAATGTTATCTATGTTTTGTTGTATTTTTTATTTATTTTGTTATATATTTTGTTTAAATAAATTGGTAAATATTTCCCAATTTCCCAAATACATTTTAATCCGGTTCTTGCAACAGTGGGAGTACTGTGGGCAATGTGTTTGACACCTCTGCTCTACACCATCACTCACTTTCTCCTCCCTCTCTCTGGTCATAGAAGTATCCTATCCTCCAAGTAAAACATCCCTCTAATTGTGACCTTGATTCTATCAGCTCTTGCTTTCTCCAGGATCTTGCTCCAAGAACTGTCTTCTCTCTCATGCATCTTTAATCCTTTCCCATCTTCCTACAAAGGGGGCTTCATAACCTTAATTTAAAAACAAATGTTATCTTGATCTTTCTACTATATCCAGCTACCATTCCAGCTCTCTCTACCCCTTTCTTGATAAGTTTTTTAAAATAAATTTTCTTTTTAATTGTGATTTTAACATCCATCAACAAATACAAACATTTTAATATACAAAGAAGAAAAGGGAAGTTTATACAAGAAACAGTAAGCTTGTTATGTGTTGTTTGTTTTCTTAAGAATATACATATATAATGTAGCAAAGTAGTAATAAAACTGCTTTATTTATGTCCTCTTCTGTACATCTTTGTTTTATTCTGTGCACTTTTTAAATGTTTCATTCTTTTTGTATGTATATATACATATGTATATATATATATATATATATATATATATATATATATACATATATGTTAGTAATCTAATACCACGAATGCCCTCACCACTTTATAATACATTTTCTCTTCAATCCTCTGCAATCAGACTTCTACCTCTACTACGCTACTGAAACTGCCCTCTTAGAGGTAAAAAATAAACTTCTGATAGAAAAATCTGGTGGTCTTTTTAAAATATCTTTCTTTTTTTAAATCTCTACAGCTTTTGATCCTGTTGGCAACATCTCCCCCTAAATAGGGCAGATAGGTGGCACAGTGGATAGAGTGTTGGGCCTGGAGTCAAGAAGACTCATCTTCCTGAGTTCAAATCTGGTCTCAGACACTTAACTAATTGTGTGATGCTAGGCAAGTCACTTCACCATGTTTGCCTCAGTTTCCTCATCTGTACAATGTGCTGGAGAAGGAAATGGCAAACCACTCCAGTATCTTTGCCAAGAAAACTCCAAATGGGGTCACAAAGAGTCAAACATGAATGAAGAAAAACAACAAAATTTAGGAGATAATGTATTATCCTCGCTCTCCTACTTCTACAACAGTATTTTTTCTGCTTCTTTCACTGGTTTCTCATTCCCCTTAACACATATATTCTCCCAAGGATCTATCTTGAACTTGCTTTTCTACTTTCCTTTCTCTCCCTTGGCAATGCCATTCCCTCTCCCATATTATTATATCTTTTGAAAAGAAAGGAGTCGAAAGAGTAGGATTGACTTTCTGTTTGTTTTTTTGCCTAAAACAACAAACAACTTTCTTTGGGGTTCCTGTAAGTAATATACTTCATTTAGCAAGGTTAGTAAAATCCTAATTCTGTACCAATAGCTCTTCTGATTTCCAAATAGTTTAAAATAGCCAAAAGGAGGGGAATAGGGAAAGAGAATAAGTATTTATATAGCACTTATTATGTGCCAGGCACTGTGCTAAGGGCTTTACAAAGATTATCTCATTTGATCCTCACAATAACTACAATGTAGATGCTGTTATTAAGCCCATTTTATAGTTGAGGAAACTGAGACAGGGGTTAAAGAACTCACCCAGGGACACACAGTAAAGTATCTGAGGCAGGATTTGATCTCAGGACTTCCTGACTTCAGGCCCAGCACTCTAGCTACAACATTAAATACAGGAACAGATATTATATTGTCTGCCCATATCTTATTGTTGTTCAGTCGTTCTCAGTTATGTCCAACCCTCTATGACCCCATTTGGGGTTTTTCTTGGCAAAGATACTGGAGCGTTTTGCCATTTCCTTCTCCAGCTCATTTTACAGATAAGAAAACTGAGGAAAATAAGGTGCCCAGGGTCACATAGCTAGTAAGTGTTTGAGGCCAGATTTGAAGTCAGGAAGATGAGTCTTACTGACTTTATTCCCAGCACTCTATCCACTGTGCCACCTAGCTGCCCCAGGCCTATATCAACCACTCTTCAAATTTCTCATCTCAAATGAGGTGTTTGGACTGGATGATCTCTACAATTCCTTTCAGCCCTAAAATTTAATGTTTTATGAGATATACACATGGATATAAACAGTAAACATAATGTATGCTTTTCTTCTTGAACTTTTACAAGGAAAATGGCATACCCTGTGTATTAAGAGAGTGGCTCAAAAGGTCAGAAACTAGCTTTGAGTTACTCAATTGCCTTCCAAGTTATTGACTGAAGGAAAATGGAACTGAATGGTAAAGCAATGAGGTAATGAAAATAAACTATCTTGCAGGACTGGATCAGGCTAATGCAATGCCTTCACCAAGATTCCTAAAAACCCATCTTCCTGTCCAACTACTGCCTCCATCTTTTTGGAAAGAAAACTGTAAGGTAAGTGTCAACATGGTGGGAAGAAAGAAGTGGAGGACAGGAAAACATGGCAGATGAGACTATGTGTCACCCATGTAAAAAACTTGATCAAGTTATATGTCTACTGTGCCACACCTACCAAGAATAGCTGGAGTTGAGGCCAGAGGGCTCCTGTACCCAGGATTCTGCTGTCTGCAGAGATATTCAATGCAGAGCTATAACCAGAGTGGGGGAAAGTAGAACGTTTATGCCACATATGGCTGAAATTAGAGAGAGTATAAAATTGGTATTCCAGGCTTGAAGTGACTTGCTAATAGCCCCAACCGAAAGGTAGATGTGAGAGAGGTATAGAGATGTTCAGAGTCAGTTCAAACATGTTCATGACCTCTCTCCCTAACCCCAATAGAAGAGGTGCAGGACAGAAGGGGCTTCTTATATGGAGGCTCAGGTATCATAACCTCTCAACCCTTCATCTAATAATTCTCTCCCTTCTACCATTGCACATACACACACACACACAGAGGTAACCTCCAGCTCCCAATGCCCTTTCTCCTTTTCAGAGGATCTCACATTTTCTCTCCCTAGCCTGGGACTAAGCCTGGTCCACCATCAGATCCAAGAGGATGAAATAAGTACACTAGTTACTCTTGATAGTTGAAGCAAACTGCTGGAGAAAATGAGATGGAATGGGATGGCATGTGTATGTTGAGGGGTTCACCTCAACAAGGAGAAAGACCACATTTTCATGTTTGACAGATGAAAGAGGAGATAGTGGAAAAAAGACAACCAAGAAATATGAGATAAGGAAGAAGGGATAAGGGGGAGCTCTCAGCTAATAGCCATAATTTTTCAATGAAATATGAAGCAAGATTCTCAGCTGAGAAAGGAGGGCAAGAAGGAGGTATGATAGATTTGAAAGCATTTGAAAAAAAAAACATTGTATAGTGAATAGGACAGTGATTTGATTAGGGAGGCCCTTGCTAAAGTGAGGGCCCAGTTGAGATTATGAAATTGCAGTAGACTCAGAACAATTTCATGATTTTCTCTAGCTTCTTTTAGCAGTTCATGGAGGAGTAAAGGCAGTGGATGGCAGGAGTAATCCAAGACTGAAGCTCAGCAGGACAAGATGGGCAATAGGATGAAAGGGCAAGGAACTTGAGAGAAGAGAACAGTGTAGAGTGGAACTGGCTGGCCAAAGGGTCAAGATAGGCAATTGAGGAGAGTATAGTCAGTAGAGAAGTGCTGACCTGGGAAAAATCTAAAGGGTAGAAGACTCAGAGGTCCTAGTAAGGTTAAATAATAAAATCAGGAGCTGCATAGAAGGAGAGGTAAAATGATAGCACATTATGATAAAGGAGTTTCAAAGTTCATGAACATGGAAGTGGAGCGCAAATGGGTAATGGTAAGATCAAGGGTATGAGCATCTCTCTGTGGAACTGAGCTGGGGTGAAGGAGCAGCAGTAGGAGAAATAAGTTAAGGAACTAGGAAGCAAGGGTGTTTCAGGGAGTATTAACAATATGTTGAAGTCCCTTAGTATGAGTGCAGGAGTTGAGGAGGAAAGAAAGTATATGAGCCAGGCAATGAACTCATTGAAAAAGAAAGAAAAGCATCGTGAAGATCTGTAGATTACCACCAGAATTTTTTTACTGGATAGAAATGTCCTTTTCTTCTGGTCCATTTGTTAACTTAGGAGAAGTCTACTGCTCATGCCCCTGCCCTTAAAAGTTGTCATTTTTTTCTGATTCCAAGATGTTGTACATAGAGAAACTTCAGCTTATCCTAGCCAGTCAGTCAACAAGCATTTATTAAGTGTTTACTATGTGCCAGGCACTGTGATAAGGAAGCAAAATAAAGGCAAAAACACAGTCTCTGCCTCAAGAAGCTCAAGTTTCTGTAGGGGAGGCAGCATGCAAATAACTATAAACATAAAAGCTATATACAGGGCAAATAGAAAGTAATCTCAGAGGGAAGGTGCTATAGGGATATAGTAAAGACAAGGAAAAGCATCCTTTATAAGTTGGAATTTGATATGAATTTGGAAGGAAGACAAGAAAGCTAGGAGTTAGAGGTAGATCATTCTACACACGGCGACAACCTGTGCAAACAGACTATCCAGAGATACAGTTGTATGTGAGAAGCAGCAAATAGGCCAGTGTAACTGAATCATAGAGGGTGCAGAGGGTAATGAAGTATAAGAAGGCTGGAAAAATAAGAAGGCATCAGGTTGCCACCATGGGTTTCTACTACCAACCTACAGACAATATTCAGAGCTCCATTTTCCCCCACATAAGCCAAAGCTTGCCATCACCCTGCAGTACGCCCAGTTGTTCACCCCAGTCTAAGCTAGATAGAATGTGACATACATGTGGTTCAAGTTAAACCAATTACGTAACCAAGTTAAATTAGTTACTAGTATTACCTAGATGGCACCAAGTTAATGTTCCACTTGGCATGAATAAATATGATGCAACTTCTGGTGTCCTAGACAGAGCGGCTTTATTTTTTTTTCCACAAAAAAAACATTAAGCCAAATTCTAATCAAAATAGAGTTGCAAGCTTTTCTAGGAGACAGAAAACTATTCACTCCTGTCACTTGTGATCACACCCATAATCAAATTGGCATTAACCATATTCAGGTAGAAATAACAAAGGATATCTCAACTACACAACAGAAATTAGAAGAAAGCAAACATACACTGACAAAAGATATCAGTTTTATCTTAAAACTTTTTCAAACATTAATGTTATGCCTACATGGAGTTTTGAACTTTGTATATGTGAAGGGCATACTACTCTAGCAAATTTATTGATGTCTATCTCAGAGAAACTTGAGTTAATTACGGATAAATGAGAAGTGAAAGTATATGTTAATGAACCCGATTTGAAAGCAAACAAAAAGAATATTCAGTTATGTTTACATGATAGGACTAGGAATAGAGATTGGACCAGTGATTACATCAATATAGAGAATTTGCTCTTCCAATGCAGATCAGCGCCTTCTCTACAGCTAGCAATCTTAGACAATTACCTTCATCACTGAAAATTTAAGTGACCTTCTTAGGGTCACATAGCCAGTAAGTATCACAGGCAGGACTTGAACTCAAGTGTTCTTGGTTTCAAGGACAGCTCTACACAGCTGTGTACTGGAGTCAGTCCATACCCTCTCATAAGAAAAGACTGTTAAATTTTCAGTGTGAACATTTAACACCTCTGAAATCAGCAAAGGCTACAATCAGAGTTTGATTGATTGCTTTGTACATTTTCTAGGCTGAAGAAAATGATGGAGAAAATGTTAATAACACCAATTAAGCTCAAAAGTATGTCAATTGTACTTATTTCTTTTCTGGGAAGTGAGCTGTTAAACATTTACCAGGACAGTCCTAGATGTACACCACATTCTCTCTCTGCCTACGTGGTAGGCATGCTAAATACAATACTTTGTGTTTAATTTTCTCTTACATTTTATTTTTCTCCTTTTATCTACTCCAGATAATTTACGTGGCCAGAAATATCAAGGATAACATGGTGTCCTATTTCCATTTCCAAAGGATGCATAAAGGATTTCCAGATCCAGGAAGCTGGGAAGAGTATTTTGAAACATTCTTGGAAGGCAAGGGTGAGTGAGGTACAGGAAAATCAGCTTCTCCAGCCCCTGAAGGAAGATAGTATTTCTGTTGTAAAAAAAAAAAAATGAAGTGAACATACCTCAGCCCTGAAGCTTGCTGGAATATTGGATAATGAACCTTGTAACATTGGAAGTACCAAGGGATTGAGATTTCAAGGCTGTTTACATGTAGGATACAATTTGGGGATCCCCTTCATTTTCTCTGAAGGAAAGTGTTGCAACCAAAGACATCATTCAGCATAAATGAATGTAACAATGGCAATAGGCAACATTTAATTTAAAATTGGCTGCTTTATAACCTATATTAATTTTTAATATGCAGCCATATTTTCAAAACTACATCCAAGTCATAACTTTCCTGCATATGTTTTAATAAACTCTCCCACAGCAATGATCATTGAGAAATTACAGTTTTGGAGGTATGAAGTCTATGACTTGCCAATGATTTGAGTTATTTTAACTCTTTTAGATGTATAATTTTAATCTTTTTAAGATAGTCTACCATTTTGACAATACATTTAGTAAATATGACCTGTTATATAGCACAGAGGGCAGGTAGGTTGCATAGTGGATAGAATGCCAGCCCTGAAGTCAGGAGGACCTGAACTCAAATCCAGCCTCAGACATTTACTGGCTGTGTGACATGCTAGGCAAATCACTTAATCTCTGTGTGCCTCAATTTCCTCATCTGTAAAATGAGCTGGAGAAGGAAAAAGCAAACCATTCCAGTATCTTTGCCAAAAAAAACAAACAAATGGGGTCACTAGGAGTCAGATATGACTAATCAACAAAACAACATCACAAATTTTGTCTTCAATGTAAGATTAAATTTGCAGCTTTGTGTCACAAGTCAAAATGATAAGCCACATAAGAATTTAATTATTGTTTTCTTCTTTAGATTCAAAATTCATAATTCAACACCTTTATCCTTGCTTTCATAGTGAGTCCAATGGCATGTTGCCATTTCACATTTAGCTGAACTTAATCTTTATTTCATTAAGAAAGCTATCGATGTTTGCTAGAGTAGTGCCTTTAACCTCCATAAGGTATAGATTGCTGTTGCTGTTGTTGTTTGTCCTTCATTCTCAAAAAGGACCAATCACACCATGAGGGTGATGTCTCCATTTGGACACGAACTGGATTTAAGTGAGGCAGAGCTGCAAAGTCATCAGCCTCATGTGGCTCTCCTCAAGTCACTGCACTTTGATGACTCTGGAGGAAGGTATAGAAAGAATCCTCAGACCTAACATATTTTTTTGCTATGCTAATTAACATATCTTAACATTATAGAAATTTGTTTTTCATGAGATACATCTGGTATAGAAAACATCTCTATACTATACTTAATATCAGTTTTAATTCCCAAAATTTTTTTCTGCTTGTGCCAACAGTGAAGCTAATTAATTCAATTGCTCTGACTATAGAACACTCGAATGAATGACCAAGGTGAACATATTGAGAGGAAGACAACCTTAGGAATTAGTAGATTTGGATTGTGGCTTCCTGATTGAGTCAAAAGATTATAATCCGTTCTCAGTTTCTGTGCATAGTCTTCAATTCCAATACAGTTCTGTGGCACAGTGGGTTATGTACTGGACCTGGAGTCAAGAAAACCAAAGTTCAAATCCAGCTTCAGAAACTGAGCTAGCCGTGATCCTGGACAAGTCAGTTAACCTGTCTGCCTCAGTTTCTTCATGTTTAAAATGGGGATAATAATAGCACCTACCTCCCGGGGTTGTTGTGAGAATAAGATCAGATTTGTAAAATTTTTGCAAACCTTAAAGTTTTATACAAATGCTACTACCTATTATTATTATTGTAAATTTAAAATCTTCCACCATGTTCTCTCGCTCTGATTTCTCATCCAGTCCTAGAACAATTCAGGGTCTCTGAAATGGGATTCCTAATCATTCAAAAGCTTAGCCCAATAATCCTCATTGGAAAAACCATGAGGATAGAGAATGTCTATTGTCTAGTACATTAAATGCACTTGGATAAACAATCCACGTAGCTCATTCATCAGCATATAATGATAATGATAATAATAATAGCAAGCATTTATGTAGTGGTTTAAGGTTTGATATGTGCTTTATAAATATATGCACATACATAAATACACGCAGAGATTTTTATGCAGGTTTTTTTTTAATTGACCTCAATCTTCTCTCTGAAACTAAGGGTTTTTTTTAACAGCCCATTCTTCTGGCAAAGTTGTATACAACTGCAATTGCAAGTCATAGATTACCACAATCTCCAGTGATTTAAAGTTTAAAATCACTCAAAGGGGGGAAAAAAGAGGCACATAACAGGTGTGAGAAAGCTGCAACAATTATAGATAAGTAATTGTGTAGGAGTTGCTATATAAAAACATCAGCAGAGAAATGTCTGACCAGAAAAAAGCAAAGATGTAGCAAGAGGAATGGTTAATTAATGGTTAACTAATGAACAGGCCACATACTCCATTGAGATCTAGGCAATATCAGGAGACACAAAAGAAGACCCCCCTTTACTCAGTATATTGAGTAGACCCCCCCCACCCAGTATCCTATTTGTGAGACAGATAAAAGAGACCCACAGTACAGAGAGGGATGGAGGGCTAATTGCCATGTGCATTATTAAAGGGCTTATTTACATCAATGGGAACACAGATTCATTGAGGTATTGAAGAAAATAAGCCTCCCAGGGTTTTCCCAAGCCACATCCATGCCTTTAGAGCTGTCCTGACTTCCTTGAGGAGGGTCAGAAAGCTGGTGACCAAGCAGCACCAACTCAACTTCCTAATAAGTGTATACTTTATTGGATGCATGTTAAAAATATCAGCCACATGTGACCAACTTCTGCATAGGTGAAATAGGTAACCACCTACATAATGTGATTTAAGAGATGTGGCCAAAGTCCCCACATTCAAAAATATCACACCCCCTGGAATGCCACAGGACTTATCAATCATTATAGTTAGTCAACAAGCATTTCTTAAGTGTTTACCATGTGTCAGGCACTCTGATAAGTGCTGGGGATACAAAGAAAGGTAAAAACTCAATTTCCACCCTCAAGTTGTTCACATTCTAATGGGAGAGACAACAAGATATATGAAGGGTAAGAAGGAAAGGCATTAACAGTGGACTTCATAGTTTCCCCCCACACACACACATTGAAATGCAAATACCCCTGAGACAGGTAACACATTAATCTGTCACTAATATCTTAGAGTGAATGGTATTATAATATTACTCTCTAATGTAACAGAATAAAAAATGACCCTCCAAGATACAAAACAGACATTTTGATAGAAGGAAGTGTGGAGGGATGTTGAATGTACCAAGTTCTGAGTACCAACATGAGAAAAGTGAGGGGTTCTGCAAGAAGAGATGAGATCAAAATCAAACATCTCTGGCTTTTTAGCTTTAGTTGGACTCAGCCCTCCTGTCACATAGGTATTTCAAATGTCAAGGCTAGTCAGTTGGCATTAGGCAGGCAAGGTTTAACCACCACAGTTGCCAAGAGGTAAGAGGTTAACTGGACACTAAACACCAGAAGCAGAGTTTAGGATGCAAGATGTCAGAATAAAAAAAAGTAAAAAGCAAAAAGATGGTCAGAATCTAGACCAATGTTGACACCAGAAAGTCTGAGGAAGTGGGGTACACAGAATCAGGGGCCAAGGCCCAGGTCACTTCCTGTATGAGTCAGGAACAGACCATATACTACAAGTGCGCTTATGCCAAACACTCTCTTTGCCTCTTGTTCCCACAAGTAAGTAGTAAGGGACATACTGTCCTTAACTATTTGTGACCAAGATAACCATGTTTCTCTCTTTCAGGTTTATGGGGATCCTGGTATGACCATGTAAAAAGATGGTGGGAAGCAAAAGACACTTACCCCATTCTCTACCTCTTCTACGAAGACATTAAGAAAGTACTTAATAATTTTTGATTGTGACTATATACCTATTTTACCTACCATTTCAATTTTATGAAAGTAATGAAGAAGGCTAAGATGTAACGTCATAGTGAATAGAGTGCTGGTCTTGGAGTTAGGAAAACCTGAGTTCAAATCCTGCCTCTGATTTACTAACTGTGTGACTGAGGGCAAGTCAAATAACCTTTCTAAACCTTAGCAGTCTCTTTGGGTTGCACACTCCCTTTACATTCTTGAAAATTATTGGGAACCCCAAAGAGCTTTCTTTATGTGAGTGGTATCTATCAATATTTACCATACTAGAAATTATAATTGGTACATTTTAAAATATTTAATTTATTTAAAAATAACAAAAATTATTACACATTAATTTAAATAATATAGTTTTTAAAACTATATTTTCCAAACCAAAACATAATAGTGAAAAGAATAGCATTTTTAAAGTTTTTCAAATCTAGGTAATATCTGGCTAATACTAAACAGCTAGATTCTCATATCTTCTTCTACATTTAATCTGTTGTGATATGTCATTTTGGTTGAAGAAAATGTCATTTTGTGATATGTCACTTTCTATGAAGAAAATCTGGCCTCACACAGATATGTGCTGGGAAAAGGGAAGAATTTTTCATAAGCAAATAATATCTTAGTATTAATATGAAAGGGCAGCTAGATGATGCACTTGATAGAGTGCTAGGCTTAAAGTCAGAAAGACTCATCTTCTTAAGTTCAAATCTGGCCTTAGATGCTTACTGGCTATGTGACCCTGTGCAAGTCACTTAACCCTGTTTGCCTCAGTTTCCTCATCTGTAAAATGAGCTGGAGAGGGAAATGGCAAATCATTCCAGTATCTTTGCCAAGAAAATCCCAAATGAGGTCATGAAGAGTTGGACATAACTAAAATAGCTGAACAACAAAAAATTATTATGGAAATAATTTTGACCTCGCAAACCCCTGAAAGGGTCTCGAGAACCTCCAAAAACTACACTTTGAGAACCAATGATCGAATCTAATCTCCTCAATTTACATATGAGGAAACTGATGCTCAGAGTTAAAATAACTTATCCAAAGTCAAATCTGTATAAATTAGACACAAACCCAAAGCAGTCCACATTGCCTACAAAATTTTAATTGTACACAGATCAATTAGCACCTACAAAAGTTTTATCCAAATAGGGAATCCAACAAATAAAATAGTAGAAATCACATGTTCTAAAAATCCAGATTTCTAGCATCTTTCAAGAGCCTTTCAAGAGTTATTAATAATTCACAATAAAGTATTCTCCAGTAACCACTTTGCTATGCATTTCATCATATATCTGCTGGGGAGAGAACATTTACTTGGCATACTCAATTCAATCCATTTAAAACAAGACATTTTCATTTCTCCTGTATTTATGCTTATTATCATCTCTGTCCCTTTTCAAGTTTAAATAAATACTAATTCCTTGATTCTCCAAACTCTTCTCTATGGTCTTTCATTCTAATATTTGAATGACGTAGTAATTGTCTATATCCTAAATTTCTTCACTGGCTACTGTTCTCCATTATTATTCACATAATTTTCTTCTTTTCTCTTTTTCTCCATCCCTTCTTGTCTCTGCCCCACTGCTACCTTCATTTCCAGATACACTTCATTACCCTCCCTTTGCAATATTATGGTGGTTTGTGCTCCCCTCTATTGGTCAAGTATATATGCTCTATGCCTAGCTTAGAATGAGTGTAGGACCTCGAAATTATATTATCTCTGATAGAATTTTTGGCAATGATTTCAGGCATCCCACTCACCTAGCCCATAATAAGTGTCTAACTCCCTCCGCAAGAACATATGGACCCTATGGAAAATCCCCAAAGAGGTTCACATCCTTAGACTCAGTCAATAGGAGTTACCTAACTTAACCCCTGGGGCATAACTTAAAGGTTTCAAAATACCAGAAATAAGGAAGATCTCCAAACCCTTTAGGGGAAATGTTCTTGAAGTCACTGACTTCTACAACAAACTGCTCTCAGAAAATTCAGAGAAGGCATCAGGTCTGAAATACAGCTCATAAGCTAATATAGATAACCAGCTATGAATGGGGACCCAGTATTGTTTTCACAGTATACGTTTGTCTATGCTATGGCATTAATGATAGTAATGGTAAATGATAGTAACTAAAGCTAATCCAAAGCTGGGAAGCAGATCAGGAGGCAACCCAAAGGCACCACTGCGAAGGATGCCTGGAAATTCATTCAAGTCACTGCCTCAGATGGAAAAATCTCCTCTATGCTTCCTACTGAAGCAATTGCCAATCAAAAGAATGGCTAGCCCAGGAACTAAAGGAGGGAGTAGGTTAGCTACCTCAGGGTAATGGTAAATAGAATGGAGTAAGAGACTGATAAATAATAACTGGCATTTCTATTGTGCTTTAATGTTTGCAAAGCACTTTAAAAATATTTTCATGACTGATCCTCATAATAGGTAAGTGCTGCTATGATCCCCATTTTATGGATGAGGCAACTGAGGCAGATAGAGGTTAAATGGCTGATCCAGTGCTGCACAGCCACTCCTGCCTCTCAGGCTGGATTTAAACTTAGATAGTGCAGAGGATAGGACACCAGCTCTGGATTTGGGAAGACTTAAATTCAAGTCTGGCCTCAGGCACATACTAGCCATTTGACTCTGGGCAAGTAACTTAACCTGTGCATGTCTCTGTTTCTTCATCTGTAAGGTAGGGATAATAATAGAACCTACCTCCAAGGGTGGTTGTGAGAATTAAATGAGATAATAATTGTACAGCACCTTGCATAGTGCTTAGTATATCACAAGTGCTATAGAAATGTTCACCATTATTATTGTTATTATTATTATTATTATTATTATTATTATTATTCCAGGTGCAGTATTTAGTCTATCCACCATACCACCTATTTGGCACCTCTGAAAGAGCAAAAGAAAAATCTCTACTTTGATATCTTAAGGTTGCTTCCTTTTCTCCATACAGAAAAAAAAAGACTATCTATCACATACATATGCCTCTTAAGCTGTATGACAGCAATATTAATCCCTTCCCTTATCACTAATATGCTGCATGAAACAGGATTTGAGTTTAAACAAAATTTCAAAGTTTACAAATTAAGCACTAACCAAGAATCAGAATCTTGCTTCCGATGGAATTGGTATTGCCCAAGACCTTTTGAATAGAACTTTCTGTTAGAAATCTCAGATAGCCTCAAAACTGACTTAGGTCTTCAGAGCAACATGTAAGCAAAACCAAGAGGTTTGTAAAGAGATGCATCACAATTCCCACGGTTAGTGCTCTGCTGTGATGCCAGCTATGACATTCGATCTTAACGTAGAATGAAGAGGTTCTCATTTCTCCTTCCATTCTCTCTGCAGCATCCAAGGCGGGAAATTGAGAAGGTGATGGAATTCCTGGGGAAGAACCTGGATGAAAAAGTTTTAGATAAAATTGTCTATTATACTTCATTTAATGTAATGAAGAATAATCCCATGTCGAACTATACATTCGAGCCCCTAATGAATCATTCGGTATCCCCATTCATGAGGAAAGGTAATGTATATGTTCTTTCACTAAGAAAATGAAGTTTCTTCATTATTGTCAATGCTTTAAATTGGTATAGGGAAGAGAATAAGCACTGATAAAAATAATAATTTGTTTAGTTGAGTAGTTGTATCCAATTCTTTGTGATCCCATTTGGTGTTTTCTTAGCAAAGATACTGGAGTAGTTTGCTATTTTCCTTCTCCAGATTACTTTACAGAGGAGGAAACTGAGGCAACCAGGGTTAAGTGATTTTCCTGGAGTCACACAGCTAGTAAGTGTCTGAGACTGGATTTGAACACACGTCCTCCTGACTCCAGGTTTGGCATTCTACCCACTGCACCACCTAGCTACCATGATAATAATAATAATAATAATAATAATAATAATAATAATAATAATAATAACAGTAACAATAACTAATGTTTAGATAGCATTTACTAAGTGCCAGGCATTATGCTAAATATTTTACAATTATCATCTCACTTGATCTTCACAACCCTCAGAAGTATGTGCTAGTATTATTATTATTCCCATTTTACAGATGAAGAAACTAAGGCAAATAGGGGTTAAGTGACTTGTCCAGGGTCCCACGGCTAGGAAGTATCTAAGGACACATTTGAACCCAGGTCTTCCTGAATCTAGAACCAGAGCTCTATCCACTGTGCAACCTATAGTTACTGCTATGTGCCAGGATCTGTACTAAGCACTGGACTGGTGATTTTATTGGTATAGAAAACTGCTAGGTGAGGGAATGTCCACAATCAACACAGCTCATCACTTTCTCAGCAACTTAGAAGTTGCCCAGGATCACATAGCCAATATGTGTCCTAAGAAGGACTTAAATTCAGGTCTTCTTGGCTTGAAGGCAACTTGCTATCCACCATCTCATTGGGGTACTCAATATTTTAAACACTAATGTTAATTCATAAAGCACTTTTCTATCATTCAAACTAGAGATAGCATAGCGTATAAAATATGGTTTCCTTAAATGAAACATTGCTTTACTCTAGAATTACCTATCACTGATGGACATTGAAAAAGAGAAAGGCACTTAACATTGCATCCATGAATGTCTAATGGATAAATGAGGATCTTAAACTTAGGATAGATACAGAAGGAAGGAAGGAAGGAAGGAAGGAAGGAAGGAAGGAAGGAAGGAAGGAAGGAAGGAAGGAAGGAAGGAAGGAAGGAAGGAAGGAAGGAAGGAAGGAAGGAAGGAAGGAAGGAAGGAAGGAAGGAAAATTCTTTTAGCATTAAAACATTTCTTCTTAAGAAATTGTGTTCAGTACATGGTGGTAAAATTATATAAAGATGAATAGAGTTTAGCCACTAGGGGTGCTACTACCCAATTACCTAACACCAGTTGCTCATTCGTTTCTGTCAGGTCCAACTCTTCATGATCCCACTTGGGGTTTTCTTGGTAAAGATAACAGAGCAATTTGTCATTTCCTTCTACAGCTCATTTTACAGATGAGGAACTAAGGCAAACAGGGTCAAGTGACTTGCCCAGGGTCACACAGCTAGCAAGTATCTCAGACCAGATTCAAGATAAGTCTTCTGACTTCAGGCCCAGTGCTCTATACACTGCACCACCTGGCTAAGTTCTGGATAGCTCATGCTCATTCTAGCAGTTGTATGCTTTAGCCAACACAAGTAAGGGGTACTCGGGAAGAATGCCAAGCTCTCTGTTTTACAGAGAACTGTCTCTGTTCCTCAGCTCTGTCCTTTTCATGGGTAGCAGACGCTCATTGCATTAGTCTGGGAAGGAGGGGCTAGTACAAATTTATCCAATTAAATTCTTGGCTCAAGCCCCCACCCACATGGAAAACTGTACTCTCATCCCTAGTCTGTTGAATCTCAGTAAACATTTATCACATGAATGTTTCATAATAGAATCAACCACATGTCATGTGTGAAATTTAACAGAAAGCTAAACTGAGGCAATATCCTAAGCAAGCTATCATTTATGAATGGGGGCATACAGCCCAATAATAAAAGTTGGGTTCACCTTAATAAAGGATGACACCACCTCTGGCCAAAAGACCCAGAATTAAAGATGTGACTCATTTTTATGAGCATAAAACAAAGAACAGAACAGAAATCATATTATTGGCCAGCATCACAGGGTTGAGGGCTCATTATTGGTTACATTAAAGAAAATGGGGATGACCCATATGCAGAATGGAGACTACTTCTTTATGTCTAAGGAATGCTTTTGTGAATTGTATGGGCCCAGGTGCTTCCTGAATACTGATACTGATAGGATCCCAGGTAATACAGACTCACTTGCACCTGAGGAATAAATAAGACCACCTTAATTGCTAAAGACGGGAGGTCAATTAGTCCAGCTTCTCAAGAATAAACATACAATCCTTGAAGGAAATGCTGAAATGTTTAATGAGAGTATTACAAATAGAGTTTTTCTTTAATGATTATGGGCAAACTTGAGCCTTTGGTATCAATCTGCAAAGAGAAAGGTGATTGAACTTTTGCACACATCAGCTTCTTCACTCAGTGACAGAGAACAGGCTTTAGTTTGTTACACAAAATATGGTTACGGAACGAAATCATTTATAGAGTAAAATCAAACATAAATTAACAGGTTCAGGAAGTAATTCTCTCTCATATACAGATGGCTTAATCACATACCATATTCAGGACCAAAGAAAAAAAAAAAGGAAATAGACTTGAAATACATTGAAACAACTATTCCATAGGCTATTCACACCTAACTTTTCCGAGATCCAGGTTACCTCCAACCTATGTATAAGCATGCCCCAAACCCAGAAGTTACCTGACTCACATCATTCAGGTACCTAGACTTAGGAACTCTCACCCAAGTATCCTCAGTGTTTAATTTAGAAAATGGCCTAAGTGCCCCCATTAGCTTTCTCATAGGCTGGCAAAGGGTCACAATCAAGACATATGCGGAACTTGAGAAACAGACCCCTCAGCTAATTTCTGGCTCACCCAAAAGGGCAGCAGCCAGCAACCTAGAATCAGAAGATAACTCCTCTAGCCACATTTCCCTCTCTCCATGTTCTGCTCCCACCTTGCTTCCAGCCTCTCCTGCCTCACCATTGACCCCAAGAACCTGCTCCTCTCCAAAGGGATAGATAAGCTTCATCATTAAAGCCTTATCACAGGAAAATGGCTGCAGAGCAAAGGCTATTTTGCCTCTTCTCCTTGACTCCTCTTTTCTCCAAATTCATGCACTGGTATTTTGTGTTATTTCCCACATTTCCCCATCATGGCTTTCCAGATATTCTACTACTCTCAAGTCCTTCAGCTCTCTCCATGTCTCAGTATTGAAAAGGCAGCATTGTACAGAGGAAAGAGCATTCATTGTCTCTGGAGTCAGAGGATCTGCATTCATACCTTAATCTAGATACTATATGTGACCTTAAGTAAGTCATTTATCCTCTCTAGCCCTATTTTCTCATCTGCAAAATAAAAGATTTGAACTCAATGGCCTTTGAGGTCCTTTCCGGTGCTGAAACTGTGAACAGCCTACATTATTTGGGAAAGGTCCAACTTCAAATTTTTATAAGTGCCAATCCAAGACAGGGTTCATGCCTCATTTTCTCCTCCTCTCCAATCAGGCAATATGGTAAGGGAGTTACAAGAGCAAAAAGCAAGGCATTAAGTGGGTAGTAGTCTATCCTTAATTAGCCTGCTAGTTAACAGGGTATATAACTAATAACAACCTCTGGTTAAGATTCCTACTAGGTAGAATAATTAATACATCTTCCTTCTCATTACAACATTGATCTCTAGGACTCTCAATAATAGTGTTTTGAATTTCTAGAGATCCTTTCCTTTCCTCTAAAGAGTATAAAGATCTATAGACAGATTAGCCTAATTTTGCTTAAAACACTTTGTAAGTACAAGCAGTTAGAAATGGAAAGTACAAGTCCTTTAACCATCTTCCTTAAAGCATTTAGTTACTCATTAATGAGTTTGCTATTCCCAAATCAAATAAAAACTTTTAGTCTTTCTATGCCACCCAAGACAACATTTCTCACACATTATTTATTACCATACATATCATTCATGTTGACTTAAAAGTGAAACAATCCTGTTATGTACACATCCGCAGAATTATTTCCTACATGAATTTTTATAGGAAAATTGATACAAATCCATTTAGGAAAAAATGTTGACACCCCACAAATAAGATACTGAACTTTTAAATGAACCATATTTTAAAACAGAGGCAGGTAGGTGGCATAGTAGATAGAGCAACAGGCCTGGAGTAAGGAAGATGTGAGTTCAAATCCAGCCTCAGATGCTTACCAGCTGTGTGACCCTGGGCAAGTCACTTAACCTGTCTCAGTTTCCTTAACTGTAAAATGGGGTGATAATAATAACACCTGCCTCCCAGGATCATTGTGAAGATCAAATGAGTTAATTTTTGTAAAGTGCTTAGCACAGTGACTGGCACATAGTAGGTGCTTAATAAATGCTTGTTTCCTTCCCTCCTCAAAATAAAAATCAGCATATTTTGAATCTTGGGGGTTTTTTAGTGCCTTAAGTTTTAGGATATATTTGGTATGTCACTACTAATGAAAACTACTTAATGGTTAATAGTGATATCTTACATTTTTATATTGACATGCTATGGGTTGTAATGAAAATAAAGAGAAGTGGTAACACCAACCAGTACAGGTGAGGCCAGTGAACTAGTGAGCTAGTTTGTATGAGCCCAAAGATATTTTAAACCCATGTACAATGTTGTTAGCTTACTATATATGATTGTTTTCAAGCATTCAAACAGCCAGAAAGCATTTATTAAGTACCTACTGTATGACTCATATTACGCTCTGTGCTAGGGATTCTATGTCATGCTAGATACTGAGGATCCAGTGACTAAAACATAAGTGTCCCTGCCCTCAGGGAACTTTCACTCTAGCATGGAAACGCATATGTAAGTAAATGAAAAATATATAACAAGTAAATATAAGGCAATTTGTTGGGGGGAGCTTACCAGCTGAGGCACTCAAGAACAGCTTCATATAGAAAGTGACATGAGCTGGGAAAAAAACATGCCTGGGAAAAAGCAGAAATTATTGTAAAATAAGGTTTGCTCTTTCCAAGTTTTGGTACTGTAAGTTTATACATACACGATAGATGTTTTTTAAATAAAGAGCACCGTTAATGATCAACATGGTAACAACATAGGAATCTAGGCCAACTCTCTAGCCTTGGTGTCTTCTATAAAATAAGACTGATAATACCTACTCCTCCCTTTCCATTGAGACAACATGCTAGAGTGGAAAGGGTTCTGACTGGAATAAAAGGACCTGGGTTTAAATCCTGCCTCTGTCACTGAATTACATGTGTGACTGTGGACAAGTCACCTACATGACCTCTGCTGGTTGGACTAGATGGCTTCTAAGGTCCCTTTCAGCTCTAAATCTATACTCCTATCATTAGAGCCATGAAAACTCAACATGCTGTTGAGAAGAAAGGAAATAATAATAAGTATCCACTTGTATACAGCACTTTAACATTTTCAAAGCATTCTACATATATTATTTCATTTCAATCTCACAAAAACCCATGAGGTAGGCACAAACAGGCTTATTATCCTTATTTCACAAAAAAAAAAGGAAACTGAGGCTCAGAGAGATTAAATAAACTGTTCATCATTACATGCCTAGTACCAGACAGGATTTGAACCTTTGTATTCCTGATGTCAAGGTAGCACTCTACACAACACTATAGCATGTGTATCTAGAGTCATCTGTTTTTATTTTTTATTTTTGTTTTCCTGCTAGGCAATGAGCTTAACTGGCCTGCCCAGGGTCACACAGCTAAGAAGTGTCAAGTGTCTGAGGCCGGATTTGAACTCAGTCCTCCTGGCTCCAGGGCCAGTGCTCTATCCATTGCGCCACCTAGCTGCCTTGTCATCTGTTTTTATTAAATATGCTTACTAATACTTACATTGTTATATTTTAGGTGTGATTGGAGACTGGAAAACTCATTTCACTGTAGCCCAGAATGAGAGATGTAATGAAGACTATAGGGAAAAGATGGCTGATACTATGCTCTCTTTCTCCATGGAATACTAAGAAGGAAAATTTGGGATTGAGACAAAATGATGAAGAATTTTGTACTCACCCAAAGCTTTAAAGTTGAAGAGATTGCCACTAACTATACAATATTCTCATAACAATGACTTAAAATGAGGAAAAATTTTAGGCTCACTTTTCTAAGCCCTTTTTAGATTAGTCTCCACTGGCTCCAATTACCCCAGGAAGTATCCTATTTTTTTATGTCCCTCTCCATAGATCTTTAACATAGGTGCCTTTCCATAATGCTACTCATAATAAAATTGAATTTAGTATATTTCTGGTTTTCAGAGACTCATGAGTCAAAGCCCAGTGTTCTTTGTACTATACCACACTTCCTTCCCTGAATGTCTGTTTCCAGTCTATTCTTACTTTAATCCACCCTTCATATCACTACCAAAGTAATAACCATCCAGATGGCATCACATACTATACTTAGAAATAGTATTGTGACTGTCCATTGTCTATCAAATAAAGTATCACCTCCTGATCCTTAAATTCAGAATCCTCCAAAATATCCAAGCTATACTCCCAGTAAACCAATCAATAAAATCAATCAATAAACTTTTATTAAGTTCCTACTATGTGCCAGCCACTATACTAAGCCCTAGGGATACAAAAAAAAAATCAAAAGATTTAAGTTCCTACCCTCAAAGTATTTGCAATCTAGTGGAGGAGACAGCATAAAAGCAAATGTAGACAAAGCAAGCTATCTACAGAATAAATAGGAAATAATTAACAGAGAGAAGGCACTAGAATTAAGAGGGGTTGGGGAAGATTTCTAGTGAAAAATGAGATCTTAGAAGGGACTTAAAAGAAGCCAGTGAAGTCAGTCAGTGGAGCTGAGGAGTGAAAGCATTCCAGAATGGGGGACAGCAAGAGAAAATGTTAGACTTGAGGTGGAGTGTCTTGGTCATGGAACAGTCAGAAGGCCAGTGTCACTTCATCAAACAGTACATAGCAGAGAATAAGGTGTAAAAGGAGGGAGCTAGGTTATGAAGGACTTTGAATGTTATACTCTCCAGCCTACATTCCTATCCTTTACTATCCCACCTCCATGCTTTTACTCACATTAATCCCCTATACCTTGGATTCTTCCACCACCTACCTCCATTCATTCATGTACATCCATACCTTCAAGGCCCAATTGAAATATCACCTTTGGCACAAAGTTTTCACTGACTTCTCCTCATATTACCCCTTCTTTCACTCATACCCAGAGAGAAATCTCTATTTCTTCAAATTTCTCAGAGCATTTTCACTTATATTCATATCAGTCTTTTACATCAGTTATTTATGTACCCATGTTTACTCCTGCTTGAGTAGAAGATCCTTAAAAATAACTATTTAATATTTAAGTATCTCTTCACCAGGCTTGACAAAGTACATAAGCACATAACAGATGTTTAATAAATTGTTAGAGATTTTTTGAAAGCCTATTAGTGAAAGTGAAAAAAAAGTCCATACAATTTGACCCAGAGATTGTATTACTAGGCTTAAACCATAAAAGAGACAACTGATAAAAGGAAAGTCCTACATACACCAAAATATTTATAGTGGAAATTTTTGTAATAGTAAATAATTGGAATCAAGTAGATGTCCATTGAAAGAATAACCACAAAACAATTAAAAGAGATTATTTTGATATTACAAAGAACAAGCATGACTTGAAAGAAGTTATATGAGAAGATGCCCCGATCCCACCCCTTGCAGAGGTGTGGTACTTTGTATTCATTTTCAAACTTTTTTGATGTTTTGATTAGTTTTGCTGATTTTTTTCTCTTCTTTTTCTTTGAAATATTATCTGTTACTTGGGATGGTTCTCTGGGAGGCAGAAAAGAGAAATATTGACATGAAATTTTGGTGATTTTAAGATATTAGTAAAAAGTGTATTTTTTTTAAATCTAAAAAAAGTTTGTCTCCTTCCCCTGGTCCTTTGCAGAGGTAGGAGCTTAAGGGTGAGCGAAGCATGAAAGTCAGAATCAGATTTTTTCAATGCATTGATAAATTTGGGCAAATTTTTTCTCTTCTTCCTCTTTCTTTTTTTAAAAAAGATTCTTTATATCAAAGGATGGTACTCTGAGTGGAGAGGAGAGAGATACAAAGGTAAAAGCAAACAATGTAAAAACAAAAGACAGCAACAAAATTTATTTTCAAAAGAAGAAACTCTACTTATGCATGTATATAAAAACAATAAGAACAAAACTGAATGATGTGTAATTGTGATGACTAAGTTTGGTACTAGAGAAGAGTTGAGAAAACTTATCTCCTTCCATTCTTTGCATAGGTGGGAGACTATGGGTTTGAAATATTGCATATACTGAAGGACATGGCTGCTATTGATTGGTTTTGCTGAACTGATTTTTTTCTTTCTTTTCTATCCTGTGGAGGAGGCAGGGGCGTATTGAGAAATATTTAAGATATAAAAAGCAAAAGTTATCAATAAAAACTTTTTAGAAATCTCTTTGTAATTATCCTCCTTGCTATTATCAGAAGTTTAATTAAATAAAAGTATTTGATGTTTCACAACTCTAAAATTCAATGACACTGTTACTTCAAGTGTACTTGTGGAAATACAGGAAGAGTTTAATTTACTAATGGCTATGACGAAGAGGTCATAATTTTAAAAATAACTACAAAAAATTAACTACATGCTTGAAATGGAAATTGGAAATTCCCCTTTAAATTAATAAGATCACTCAAATAAATAGGTTCAGTTTAAATCTCGGTCATGACCGTTCCATATCTCCTGAGTGTTCTTGGCCTAGCATTCCAGGAACTAGCCATTCCTAGGTCACGTTGACATGGAGGGTTGGCTCCTCTCCTTGTGAGACGTGATGTTATTAAAAAAACAAAATACCAAGCCTCAGGCGGATGGGAGCGTGGCTAAGGTCAGATGTGTATTAGACAAACCATGAATAGCGCATGCATCAAAAAGGGCTTCTTGGCCCCAAGCCTTCTTTGTTTAGAACAATATAAAAACACTGCGTCCTGTAAGCCCGCTGAGCCTCACCCGCGGGAAGGATGCTTCGCCCGGGAAAATCTTTACACAATTCAAGTTTGTACAGGCTGCAACGGGGCTCCCAGCCGTTGATTGACTTTGGAGGTTCCCTTGAATTGGTGATGTATTCTCTTCCATTACCGACTCTCTTGATCGGTGCTATATTATATTATTGATTGTTCTTATTATTTATGCTTTCTATGCAAATTCAAACTATCTGTGCTTTGCTTCTTCTAAATAAATTATCTATTTCCTATTATTTTCTGGTGCATTGGAGAGTGTCATTTATAGGAGCGAATCCGAACCTCACTAAATCCTATTTTAATACAATGCTCAAGTACAATTCATGCATTTTGCTAATTAACTTTACCTGTTTTGGACAATACCAGTGTAAGTACTTTAGCTTCATCATGAAATTTATGAACACAGTTTGCTTGTATATTGGTTGCTCAGAATTCAGAGTATATTTTCCCATAGAGAGAGCATAAATGAAGATTGAGTTCTCTAAAAGACCTATACATGATGATCAACCATGAATGACTTAGTTCTTCTCAGCAATACAATGATCCAAGACAGTTCCAAAGGACTCATGATGGAAAGTGCTGACCATAGTCAGAGAAAGAACTGACGGAGTCTGAATGCAGATTGAAATAAGCTATTTTCACTTTATTTTTTTCATGGTTTTTTCCTTTTGGGTTGTTTCTTCTTTTACAACATGACTAATATGGAAATATGTTTTACATGATTGAACATATATAACCTATATCAAATTACTTACCATTTTAGGGAAAGGGGAAGAGATGGAAGGAGAGAGAAAATTTGGAACTAAAAATTTTTCAATGAATGTTAAAAATTATCTTTATATATAATTGGAAAAATACTATTAAAAAATAAATATAAAGAAAAATTTAAAACTTGTACAACAGTCACACAATGATAGCCTTCGGGAGTTGAAAGGGACCTCAATGGTCATCTAGTCCATACACCAAAGGAATCTAGCCTCTGCTTGAAGAACACCAGTGAAGAGGAACCTACTGCTCTCAAGATGGCCCATTCCACTTTTGGACAGCTCTAACTGTTAGCAAATTATTAGGACATCAGGCCTAAATTAGCCTCTTTAGGATTTCCACTCATTGCTCCTGATTTTACCCTCTGATTCTATACAGAACATTTCCTATCCTTTCTGCATATGATTGCCTTTCAAATGCTTGAAGGCAGCCATCTTATCCCACCTAAGTCTTTTCTCCAGACAAGACATTCCTGATTCCTTCAACTGGAGCCCTTTTATCATGGAATCGAGGGCTTCACCATCCTGGTTGTCCTTCTCTGTACAGTTGCCAGCTTATTCAGTCCTTCTCAAATCATAGTAACCAGGACTGAATACAATATTCCAGAAGATGTCTGAGGAGGATGGAGAACAGCAGAACTGTTACCTTCCTGTTCCTAGAAGCTATGTCCCTCTTAACGTAGCCTAAGACCACATTGGCATTTTAGAGTCAATTGAACCCACATTGTTGTTGAACCATAACAGTAATAGCACTAGCCTGAATTATTCCGCTGAATTATTCCAGTCTCTAGCACCATGCTTGACACATGGAAGAAGCTTAATAAATGTTTGTTAACTTAGGAAAGGGAAGGAAGATGACAAGAAGGACAGTTCTATATCTCTCCTCTCTTTGTTAGGTGCAGGCCCATCCCTAAGCAAAATTTGAAATTGCCAATTTGTCTTTGGCAATCTTTTTGCAATTCTTTTGCACTTCTTCATATTTAATCTCCAGGCTACTGGGAACATCAGATATTCTTGCTGCCCTAAGTCCTCAACCCAGGCCTGTCCTATCCTTGCAAATATTCTACACTTAAAAATTATCTACCTTCCTTCTTCCATGTTGCATAGAAATCTGGAGCAAAGGAAGCAAGGTAACTGGGTAAAAAGCACTGCAAACAGCTCATCTTTGTAGATATAGAAATGTGGAGATGCAGGTGGGAAGGTGATAGGTAGGACTAATAGCCACTTGCCCTAAATGTGATAAAGCCCACCAAGTGGACCCAAGTTAGTTAAGGCTGAACACAATTAGAGTAGCTAAGAGAAAAATCCAAAGTCAAAAACAGAAAGAGCCATAGCAAGAAATAGAAGTTGGTAAGTACTGGTTAGGTCAGGAGAAAGAGGTAGCACAAAGCCAGATTCAGAAGGGAGAGGGAGAAGGAGAAGGAGAAGGAGAGGAAGAAGGAGAGGGGACCACAAGCTGAGTCACTCAACTGGAACTGGACATCTGGGTCCCTATTCAGGCAGCTCAGACTACTCACAGGTTGTGTTTGTACTTCGTTCTCTAAGAGGAGCATGACATCAGGGCGACGATGACATGACTTGCAATTGACTTTGATTTAAGTGAGGAAGGGCTGTGCGAGGTCACCAGCCTCACTTTCTCTGGTCTTGTAGGTCAGAGACATATAGAAATGAGACACCCCAGGATCCAGATCATGTTTTCCCCTGTGCCTTTGGGATCTCATTTATTCTATTCCTCTTCTAGTATTTGTCTTGGATGAAGGGTGAGAGATCAAGACACACAAATCAAAATCCCCATTCCATCAAGTTAATCACAACTGTCAAAAGTAACCGCATTGAAGATATTCATACTGATATCTGAATATTTACAACCATTTAGTCCCATTAGTGATATTTGTATTTTTAAGAAAGATGCTTATTAACTCACATGAATCTCTTAGTGGCAGAGTTTCAGGCAGTTTAATAAAATTAAGTGAAAAAATTCTGTCATTGAGAAGGAAGATGTTTGTGGACTGAGGTATGACCACAGTCAGGCAATCTCTGTCCCTAGAAATACTCCTAGAACCAGTTTCTCTAAGCCAGGGCTTCTTAATCTGGGGTCCATTAACTTAGAGAAAGAGACAGAAACAGAGATAGAGAGACAGAGAGAGACAGCTGTATTTCATGTTTCAATATGATTGGTTTCCTTTATATGATTTTATTGTACGCAATTAAAAACATCATGCTGAGAAGAGGTCTATAGGCTTCACCAGACTGCCAAAGGAGCTTAGGACAAAAAAGGTTAAGAGCTCCTACTCTAAGCTATTTCTTCTTTTCAAAAATGCCTCCTTTCTTCTACCTTTTAATACACAGATTCTCCAAAAGCTACACAGATTCTCTAAAAGCTCCAAATTTCCTCACAGTCAATCTCATGGCAATAGTTGGGAATCCAAGATTTTCTGGCAGAGGTTAAATGACATTTTAAGCCATTTACTGTCCCCAGGTCTCTTCCAAATCATCATTCCTTTATGTCGACACTAACTATTGCTCTTTGAATTTAATTAATTCCCCATAAATCCTCCGTGGGTGCAAGTCATGACTGAGGGAAAGCATGAGACAAGTCTGGGAATTGAACAGTTTCCTATTCCCTCTTGTTTCAACTGGTTGCTGTGAAGCCAGCACCAACAGACACTTACAGAAGTAAATATCCCACTATGCACAGCCCTTCCAATTTAATTCAAGGAGTTATTTGGCAGAAAGGAAGACAGAAGAAAGGAAGAAGAAAGAAAAAGAGAAAGAGAAGGAAGAAAGTAACTAACATCTTTGTGTATTTAAACAATTAAAATAATATAGTATACAGTGTAATAAAAATATGCAGTATGTGATAACAAAATTGTGTTGGCATATGTATAAGCAAGAAGAATGGTAGAAGGAGCAAAAAATATAAAATAAAACATCATTAATTCTCTTGCCATTTAGCAAAGTGAGTAATTTAGTAATAATATGTGTTTAGCACTACCATTTGTAGCAGCGGCATCTATATGGCCTTGGGTTTACAGAGTTTTTTTCTTCTTCACAGCACAAGGTGTTTACACAGCCTGGGATGCAGCAATGCAATGTCTGCCCATATGATTCCTACCAAGATTCAATATTTTACTTTTATTTAATGAAGTTCCATGTGGTTTGAGACACAGGTATATTACTATTTGTATCTCATCATGGGCACCTTCCCAGCAATCACCAGCAGCCAGAGAGTTCCTACTAATAGTGGATTAATTTTGAACTTTGGGGACCCAAAGGAAGAATATATTCCACGGAAGATCTTAATTTTGGCCCCTTCCCCCTGCCTGATATATGCCAGTTTTCTCAGCACAGCAAAATTGACTCCTATTGGTAGGAATCAAATAACTAATGAAGAACAGTTTTAATGATCTCCTCATAAAGGTTGTAAGGCCCTCATCCCTGTTTTCTTGTATTAGTGCAATACCCTCCCAATCAATATCCCTCCTTCCAATTTCTCTCCTCTCAAATCCATTCTCCACATAACTGTCAAATTGATATTCCTAAAACACAGATTTGATCATCTCATTCCATACTCAAAAATTTCTGTGCAACCTATTGCCAGTAAGGTAAAATACAAATTTAAATGCCTCAGTCTAGCATTTAAAGCCCTCTATATCTTCCTTTCCATATAGTTTCCTATTTGTGGCAAGTGAAAGATGAAAAAACTTAAGAAACAAAAGTTCAAGCTTCCAATCATTTTATTTTATTAAGCAATGTATGCAATTACCTAACAAATCAGGACCAGGCTCCTTCTTCAGCTTCGGGCTGGAACCTGAATACAGGGAGAGACAGACTTTTACATATTTAAAACAATTAATCAAATAAGGCCAATTAATTAAAAGGAAACAATTAACCAAGATACATTAAGTAATCTGATTTCTAATTGAATGAAAGGTTAGGGACTTTCCCAGTGGGAAGGTGGAAAGCAAACAAGTGCAATTCCTTGAATTCAGAAAGAGGTGTCCCACTAGCCCCAAGTGTCTGTAAACAATCAAAGGAACATGGAAACGATAACTGACTGATCAGCACAGGGCCAATTTTCAGATAAGATATATGGGTTGTTTGAGATGTACAACTGTTAGAAAACTGCTCACATCAATCTTTGGATTTGACTGAGTTTATGATCAATATAACCTGGGCCCTTAGCTAAGGGTCTCTAAACAGCCAATAGAGGTGGTCTAGTTTCCCAGCCAGGCAAGGCTAGGTTCAAACAATGCAGTAAGATTTTCTCCCAATTCCTACAACAGAATAAAGTTTTCTCACAAGACAGAAATTGGACTAGATCAATAATTGAATAGAAACTAAGCTATTTCCAGAATTGAGTCACAAGATGGAGTCAGTGTGGTTCACTCAATTCCCCCATTCTTTCAATTCCCCACTTAGCACCAAGGGGGATCTCTAGTCATCCTGATCTATATCTTGCTACTAGACCCAGGTGGCTCAGGAAGAGAGAGTGAGGCAGGTGACTTTGCAGCCCTCCCTCACTTAAATCTAATTCACTTGCAAGTCATGACATACCTTCCTGATGTCGTGGTCCTCTACCAGAACAAAGAACAAACAGCTCTTCATGTGGACTTCCCCCCAATTTGCATTTGCAAATTGGAACCCCAAGGTACAACTATCTCAGGTTCAATGTACTCTGTGCATCTGTGCTCTTAAAACTATAATTTAGGAGTCCCCACCAGTGTGTTTACCTTTATTAGTCAAATGGTCAATACAATTAGCTCAAAACAAAGGAATTTACTAAAATGGCATAGCATGAGCAGTAGTCACAAAAGATTCCCACCTCCCCCAAACCTGAGACATACTCTCCCACAAATATACACAGCACCAGTGGGAAGAGCAGGCACATAAGTAGAGTACACTAGTAGAGACACACACACTTGGGAAACCCATGTAGCCAATTTGATTGATGCCTCCCTCGGATGTTTCGTGGTCACAAAATCTTTTTTTCTTTTCATGGCATCCTCACGCTGCAGTGTCTCTGCTGGGCAAATAGCTCCACTGGCCTCCTACCTAGTGTGGCAGCTCTTAGTGGGCATTAATCTCCACCATAAGACTCTACAGTCAATGGTGTGGGAGAAAGGAAGAAAAACCCCCTTCTTTCCCTCCTCCTGAAAAGTAAGGAATGATTCCCTTTCAAGAGCTGGATTCTTCAATGCTGGTTCACTTCTCAACTTCCAGAGCTCATATTTCTCAGAGCTGTCCTCAGCCTCCACTCTTGACTGTTCCCCCTCCCCCCCTCCCCCGACCCAGAACGTGCCTTTCTTTTTTAAAAGAACATTGGGAACATAACCAAAACTCTCTTTACGTTGTACTTTATAAATGGTAAAAGGATCCTTTCTAAACTTCTTGATCATAACTTCATCATTGTTTCGAAACTTATAAAAAAAAAACTTTATCTCTGCAAAGAGCTTTCCTTTTCTCAGCAGCCTCCTGCTTTTCAGGAAGTTCAGTTAGAACTTGTAGAGCTAAAAGGGATTAGGTGATAGAATCATTTAATTTAACCCCTCCTCTGTCTTAAGGAAGAAACCAATGAAAATATCAGTGAGTTATTTTATAAACTCAAGCAGATGATGAACAAGAATTTTATTGGTAAACTAGGCTTTGAGGGTGAAAACAAAACTGATCACGTGAGAATCCGGGAGATTTCAAGTTATGTGCTTTAACTCAAAGCTGATTGGGTAAAAGTCCCTTTTTATTCTTTCTTCCTTCCTTCTTTATTCCAGACTGAAAGCTAAATTCAAATAGTGGCTGTCACTCTAGATTTAAAATCTCTGTGTGTTAATAATCTACAGGGCTTGTGATTCTTTGCATATAAACAGGCATTCTCTCTGTTTAACAAACTTTGAATCCTGACCCTAATGGACTTGAAAGAGATGAAGTCGTTGAACATAAAGAGAAATGAACGAATAGATGTTGACTACATAAAAGGGATTCTTCAGCCTACACCCACTTGTGCTATCTGGGATGAAATCTGGAACTTTCAAGCCAAGCCGGACGATCTACTTATTTCTACCTATCCCAAAGCAGGTGTGGGGGACAGGGGAATGAGGGAACTTGGAGGGAGGGGCTTTGCATATTGTGGACCCTGAATAAACATTTCCTTAGTTGAAAGAAAGAAATAGCATGCTTGAGTGGGTAAAAATCTGAACTGAGTTTGTGAGGGAGGGGGTTTGTGGTCATGATTAAGATGAATGTTTCTAGAGAAAGTTAGTGAGAGATTAATAAACATGGACTACAATTTCAAAGATTTGATCTATTTCTCAGGGTACGGAAGTCGTAAAAAGTCACTAAATAGATTAAACAATATTTGTATGAGAGAGCTGATGAAAAGACAAAGAGGCAGTTTGCTGAAGTATAAACTCTGCTTTCCTTCTTGGAGTATGACAAGACATGCTTTATTTGTTAAATCAGTTTACAAAGATCTCTGTAAAAGAGAGTTCTAACAATATACATAAATGTTTGAGAGAAAGGTAGATGCATCAGTTTGTATGTATGTACATGTGTGCCTGTATACATTTGTATGCATATGTGTATATGTATATGTAAATAGACACACGGACTATCCTTTCAAAATATCAGCAAAAATCTGTAGGAAGTGTGGGCTTGGATGATCCTAATCCCTTCCCTTTTACCTATTTCACCAAAAAACAAGTGATTTTATGTACGCTGTATTTATAATCCTCTTATGAAGAAGGAGAGAGAGTTAGGGAAGAAGGGAAGGAAGGAGAGAGGAAAAAGGTCAATCTTTGTCATTGTGAAGAAATGTTTGCTCTAATCAATTTCATACTCTTATCAAGTAATATAAAGGTTGTGACTAACTTTCTCCCTAATGCAATTTAACCAATCAAAATTTCTTTTGTTTCTGATGACTTCTGAGTGCCTTAAACTTTATTAAAAAAAACTGAAGTGTTTTTCATTTTAAAAAATTTAAAAATTTACAAGTAGAGTCAAAGAATAAAATTCTTCTAATAATAATAATAATAAGTAATTTATGTATCATTTTAAGGTTTGCAAAGCAAAATCATTTGATCCTCCTAACAACCTTGTGAGATAGGCGTCATTATTATCACCGTTTTACAGAGGAGGAAACTGAGGCACAGAGCGGTTAAGTAACTTATGCAGGGTGTCACACAGCTAGTAAGAATCTGAGATGATTCAAACTCAGGTATTCCTGACTCCAAGGCCTACATTCTATATCTGCCTAGTTACCTAAAGTTTTTTTTTAAATTATTATAAAAATTCTCTATACTAAATATAATTTTTGAAAGTCAAGAAAACCGAGGATTTTAGAATTGAAAGAGGTCTGAGAGGCTATCTAGTCTAATTCATACATAAATAAAACTTTCCCAGCACAATAATCAATCAAGAAATATGTATTAAATATCTACTATGTGCTAGGTACAGTTCTAGGTTCTGGGGATATAAAGACAAAAGTAAAGCAATCCTTATCTTCTAGGAGCTTACATTGTATATGAAAGGAAAACATTCGCATTTACAAATGTACACAAAGTAAATAAAAGGTAATAGAGGGAAGCAAACTGAAGCACATCCACAGCTGGATGCATGAAGAAAGGCTTCATGTAGGCTGCGGTATCCGAACCAAAATTGTGAAGGAAATCAGAGATTCTAAAAGTGAAAAGAAACTAAATTGGAAGCATACAGGATAGCCAATGCAAAAGGCACAGAGAGAAGAGATAGAGTGCCATGTGATAGAAACAATAAAAAAGGCCTCTGGCTAGAAAGTACAATTTGAAAAGGGGAATAATATGTAATAACAAATTAGAAAAGGTAGGTTAGAGCTAGATTGCAAAAAGCTTTAGACTCAACAGAGAAAAATGTATTTGATCCTAGAGGTAATCGGTAATCACCAGAGTTTACTGGACAGACGAATAACATGGTCAGATTTTTGTTTTTGAAATATCACTTTATCAGCTGAGTGGAGGATGGACTGGAGACAATGGAAACTATTGCGATAATCCAGGCAAGAGATTATAAGGGCCTGAACTAGGGAGGTTATCATGTGAGTGAAAAGGGAGAGATGGTATGGAGTACAATCAATACGACTGGACTTGCTGAGAAAAATTGGGGAATTGAAGTTGTCTCCAAAGTTGCAAACCTAGGTGACTAGCAGCCTGGTACAACCCTCCATAGAAACAGGGAAGTTGTGAAGGGAGGTCAGAAGTCATCAGAAACAACAGAAATTTTGATTGGTTAAATTGCATCAGGGAGAAAGTTAGTCACAACCTTTATAGGTTCTTTTGGGGATGTGTTGCATTTGAGTTGTCTAGAAGATACCTAGGTCAACATTTCCAATATGCAGTAGATAAAATAGACCTGGAATTCAGCAGACTAGTACTGTTATCTGGAAGTTATCTAAACAGAAGTGGCAATCAGATCCATGGAAGCTGATGATATCGCCAAGAAAGAGTGTGGAAAGAGACCAGAACCAAGCTATAGAGAGCACTCACAGTTTAGGAGTAAGGTATGGATGATGAGCCATCAAAAGAGACTGATAAGCAGTGGTCAGATAAACAGGAGGAAAATCAAGAAAGAGGGGTACCATAAAAACTTAACAAGAATAGAGTAACCAGGAGTGGACAACAGTGTTCAATTCTGCAGAAAAGTCAAGACAGATGAACACTGAGAAAACACCATCACATATGGCCATTAAGAGATCAGTGTTAACTTCAGAGACAGCCATTTCAACAGACTGATACGGTTGGATTGCCAAGGGTTAAGAAATAACAACAAAAAGGGAAAGTGGCAGCAATGAGTATAGACAGCTTTTTCTTGGAGTTTGGCTGTGAATGGGAGGAGAAATGTATGACTATAGCTTAAGGAAATGGTAGGGTGAGGGTCTTTTTAAGGATGCGGGTAAGCCTGAGTGTATTTGTAAGCAGCAAGGAATAAGCCAATAAATTAATAAATAAAGAAATGGAATAAAGGGGTCAAGTACTGGGATTGAACTTGGCAAAGAGAATTGCCACCTTTACATCAGTCTGGAGTAAAGGAGTAGAGAATGGAAGATAAAGGGGCAGCTAGGTAGCACAGTGAATAGAGCACTGGCCCTGAAGTCAGGAGTATCTGAGTTCAAATCTGGCCTCAGACCAAACACTTGACACTTACTAGCTGTGTGACTCTGGGCAAGTCACTTAACCCCAATTGCCTTAAAAGAGAGAGAGAGAGAGAGAGAGAGAGAGAATGGAAGATAATGTCGAAAAGTTTTGAAATACTGAGTATAAAATAAGAAGGAACTCACAGCAAATGGACACTTTTCTTAGAAAAGTATGAAATGAGATGATAGGAGAATAGGGTAAGTAGAAGAGATGTGAGAAGAGAAATTTTAGAAAAGCCACTGCAGGGAGTGAAATAGAGAATTAATTAGAGAGAAGTAAAAGGATTTCCTTGCCACAGTGAGGGCCCAGTTGAGATTACATATCCAACAAATGGTCATCCAGTCTCTACTTGAAGACCTCTAATGAGAGGGGAATTCACAGTCTCTCAAGGAAGATGATTCTTCTTTTGAATAACTCTAAGTGGCAAAGAATGAGCCAATAGACAGGGAGAAATTGTATTATTCCTCTGGTTCATCTGCCTAAGTCACACATCATAGATTTCAGTGGATTTTAGGGGTCACATGGTCCAACCCCTCATTTTACAGACGTTGAAACTATGGCCCAAAGAGTCTGAGTAATTTACCCAAAGTCATAAAATTATAGAATCTTATAATTGAAGGAGACTTTAAAAATCACCTGTATCTGAATGAGAATACACTCTAAAATACTACAAAAAGGATTCATCCAGCCCCTTTGTATTCTCTCTACTTTTTCAAGAATGAAATAATCATTAAGGAAAATCAGGAATTGAGTACTAGGTCTGCTTTTGACAAAGATCAAGCATCAATTGACATTTTGGTCATTGAAGTTTCCTCCTTCCCTCCTAATATCACAACTCCCTTGATATTTTCCGAACTCTGCTCATATTAATTCCATATGACTGGGTGATCAAAAAGGTAATAAAATGGCTGAGTTAAAATTTCAATCCAGGTCCTTTGATTCCAAATCCAATCTTCTTTCCACTAGGCCCTGTCACCTCAAAAAGGAGACAGCTATTTTCCAAATGGCTTCTTTAAACTTGAACCTGGGATCAATGGTGAGATATCAAATGCTCCATTCTCAGAGAGAATGAAAAATTCATGAGGACTCAGATCTTCATTCCCATATAGAGTGCCATTATGCAGTGCTTTTTATCTTTGTTAATAATAGTGAGATTTTTACAGGACAATACAGAATTCGGTTCTGTATTGCTTTATGGATTCGATATTAACAGTCCATATCTTAAAAAAAATTAAGAACCTTTTCAAACTTCTATTCTTCTCACTTCTCTTTATGAAATAAGGAACAACTTGGACCCAGGAGATAGTAGACATGATAGAAAATGATGGAAATATTGAGAAATGTAAACGAGCTCCTACTCACCTTCGATTTCCTTTCATTGAATGGATAGTTCCATCAATACCTTCTGGTAAGTGACAGTAGGGCCACCCAGCCACACTTGACTATAAACAATGTCTCACTTATATTATACCCTAACAACAAATGAACAATGGCCAGCAAAATTCCTTATTTGTTTTTTTTTCTCTGCTCATAATTAATCTTTACCTTTTACCTTTCCGCTTTCGCTTTCCCCTCAACTTCCGGCCACTAAGGACAGTTTTCTACCCTGTCTTCTCACAGTTTCCCAGGATCAGTCCAAGGCATAGTCTTTTATAACAGTACAGACAATAGTAGGACTAGTGGTAGCCAGAGGAAGGAGAAGGAAGAGAGGAATCCCCCATCCACCCCCAAACATCCCTTATTCTTATATTATTGCCAATAGATTCCCCAGTTCCAGCACCAGTCTCTTGAATAAAAGCTCTAGTCTCATTCTATCTCTTCATACAAGCCATAATCCAGACTCTCTTTTCTACCTATAACACTTTTACCTGGGGTCCACAGACCTAAAGAGTCCATGGATAGAGTTCAGAGGGTCCATGAATTTGCATGGGAGGGAAAAACCTACATCTTTATTTTCACTAACCTCTAGTTGAAAGTTAGCATTTCCTTTAATTATTAAAAAAATATATATTATTCTGAGAAAGGGTCTTACAGGCTTCACTGGACTGCTAGAGGGTTCAATGGCACAAAAAAAAAAGGTTAAGAACCTGTCCCCTAAACCCACTCCCCTCCCACAACCTCTCTCCCACCCCACCAGATTCTGGGACAATATGTGTAGAATAGCTTAAATCACTGATTTCCCACTGAAATGTAAATGATTCTTACTTGTTTCAGTTCTTTTTGTACAAAGACTCCCAGGCAAAATATTTTGAAAGACTCAAAAACATGATTGAAGAAGAGAAAGTATGCTGATTTGGGGGAATCTAGGTATAACAAAGAGGGTACTTGGGGAGATCTGGCCTAAGAAGTAAAAGAAAGGGGATGACTGGGGAATGGACTTGATAAGGGTAGAAAAAAAGAATGACAGGCCTAATTAAAAAGTGCCCCTGTGTTTGAAGTGCCCATGGTTCTTTTAACAATCTCCTATCACAAACCCCTGTGCTTGCACTTTAACCCCTGACCCCAGGTGACAGGATTCTCCATCTTTGGGTTGGGACTGAAAAAGTTCTCATTCTTATCGCCACCAGGCTGAGGAGGGGAAAAGAAGGGGAAGTCCCTGAAACACCATCCTCCCCCCAAAAAATTTGTTTCTGATGTTGCTTAGGTACTATGTGCTTTAGTTACACTATGCACTTTTATGAATTAGCTTGACAATTTAAATACCACAAATATCACTGTATCTGTGATTTTAAAAAAATTAAGTGTTTTAAGTTCTAAACAATTTATTTACAAATGAACTTTACAAACATAGCCTATTCCTAAGCTCAAGATTGTTCATCTATTTTATTCAGCATGGTATAATATTTCTTATAAGAAGATATATTTACAGCTGGAAGGGCAGTGGTCAAACTCAAATAGAAATGGATCCCTCTCACCACACATTAACTTGGAAAACCACAAAATAACATTATCTAGGTGGTATTGTATTTTTATTTATTTTGTTAAACATGTCTCTATTGTATTTTAATCTGGTTTGGCCACACTATCTAGTTTTCCAGGTTGATCCATTGGCCCCTGAGTTGGACACCTCTGCTTTAGAGGTCAAGTCCAACCCCCACATTTTACAGATGAGGCCAAGGGAGATTAAGTAACCCAAGATTGCACAATTTGTAAGTATCTGAGACAGGATTTGAACCCAAGTTTTCTTGTCTCTAAGACTAGCATTATGACATGTTGCTACTCTTTCTCTGTCTCTATTTCTCTCTGCTTCCTATATTATCTATATAAAATAACACATTTATATAGAACTTTTAAGTTTACAAAGTGTTTTCTTCATAGCATCCCTTGTAATGTAATTAATTATCAGTGGTACTATTTCATAAATGAGGAAACTGAGACTCAGAGATACTAAATGATTTACCAAAGTCACAAAGACAGAAAGTGTTGGAGCTGGCCCTCCAACACTGGTCTTTTGGCTTTCAGTGTATATCCTTGAGCCATAATGACTCTCATTCAAGATCCAGAACACTAAAATACTTGGTTGATAATTAATTGAATTAAGCTCTTTTCTGGCCTTTGATTTTTGAAATGTAATATTCATTCAAACCTTACATTTTTGCACCATGGAAACAAAGTGTGCTTGCGTGGGTGGGAAGTATTTCTTAATGTGAACCCTGACAATGTCTATCTGGAGACATGGATACATATATAGATACATAGTTACACAAATACATAGATACATAGATATTATATGGGTATATGTATATATAGTAGAGATGCATAGATATATCTATATAGTATATATGTATATATAGTGTATATATATAGATTGATACATCTATATAGTATTCATAGATATAGACATAGATAGAAACACCCAACTTCTTTCTAAGTTTCATTCACTTACTCCAACCTGCCTCAACCTATTATGTCTAAGTTTCCACTATACAATTACATTCAATTTTTCTCAGGGTCCTAGGGTTAACCACCCTCTCCAATGTGTTTTCTATCTACACAAGCAGGAACCAATAAAGCAATGAATCCACACAATATGTAACATTTATATAAAACTACTTACAATAGTTAGATATATAATATTTAAATTCTAAATATAACCATGTACTTAACTACAAGGCAAAAAAGAAAATAATATATCAAATAAAGTACATAAATAATAAAATACATCATTATATGTACATAAACTTGGAAAATGCTTTTCCATAATTTACTCAGTACCTATGGTGAACTATGTGAACATACACATTGGAACCTGAAAAGGAAGCACATAAGGGAGGAAAATTTAGGTGCTTCGGGTAACTCACAATATATAAATAACCCACAGTTATGTGGGCTACAGGCTTCAATGTTATTGCCCATTCAGGAACATCTGCACCACATGAAAGAAGCTGAGACTCACTGTTTGACTGTTGATCCTTACTACTTTTCAGTTAAGGAAATACTATTCTCTTCTCAACCTGAATGTTAGCATAACACAGGAGCTTTTGGGCTCCGGCCTCTAACAGGTTCACTCTTGTTCTGGGCAGCCAGAAACACAGGACCAGAGACATAATGAGGGAATATTTAATTACTTTATTCTTCTCAATGAAGTTAATGATAATAGGAGCACCAGCTCCTACAGCATTCCCTAATTACTCTTCTCAAAGGCGCAGACAGAATATACAGAGTAGGAGTTCCAACTCCCACAGTATCTCCTAACTCCAGATGGGTACCAGTTGAGACACGCACAGCATTCCAGTTTGTGCATTCTCCTCTTATTAACCAGTGCTCACTTGATTTAAGAGGAGCACACAAAGAAGGCAATTTGCCACCAATAACATCACACGTTTAGAGTGACTTTAGCAATATCATGATGACTTAGCATAGCGCATGAGCAGTAGGTGTTTACAACTTTAAGCACAAATGTTTATATTATGAAAGGTAATGTAATAATATGTAGTCACAGCAGAAATTGTTTATGGCCATGATCATGGGAATTATTATCTAAAAAAGAATAATTTATGTATAATTAGCCTTTACAAGCTCTTTCAATTAACTATTACCATTAAAAGGGTAGTTAGAATGTGTTAACTTTTAATGTAAATTACAGTTCTCTTTAAGCTAGGGAAGTGCAATGCTCATCAAACTAGCTCTCTCTGTTATATAAACTGGCCCAGCCAGTTATTTATTGACCCAAGTATTTTGCTAACCAATGAGAACAGAGCTCACCAACACAGCTCCAGCTCACCAGGATACCAAAGCAGCTTTGCTTTGCCTTCTCAAGCCAGAGGTGGCAGCAGAGACCAAAATGCCCTCACGAAAAGCTTCACATTCTGCTAATTATGGGTGATGTTGAAAGGCAATACATGTCACTAGAGCTCTTGGCCAATGAAGTCAATTTTCTCTCCAACCAATAGAGGATCACTCAGTTGAGGCCTTCTCTTAACTGACTGCTTCTAACTGCCCAGCTCCAATAAAGCAATTTTTCAATCCTTCTCCTATTTCTTTGCCTCTCCTCAGTTCCTCTTCCTCTTCTGCTGCTCAAGCCAGTGGCTTAAATGAGAACTTCCTGACTCTCAGCGACTGACTCACTTGTTGCTTAAAAAGTCTCAGTCTCACAAATTTCCTGTACTAAACTAGCAGTACTTTTTTAATCACACCTCAGTCTCCAAATGTTTATATGATTTCTCACAAAACGTGCATATGCAAATTATCCAAGGTATCCATCATGTTCCAAAGTTTTCAACTTTGAATCTTTGTTTCTTGACCATCCTATTTCTCTAGCTTTTAATAAATAAAAAGTCTTCCTCTGCTTCTTTATGACATTAAACATCACTCTACTTTGTTGAAAAAGATCCATGTCCTTATATCTATATCACAGATAATTTTCTCTCCAAAACTGTTCAAATTCCAACTAAAAGTTCTTCCTTCTTATATCTATATTAGCAAATTAAAATAAAGTTCTTTTTCTACTTCTTTTTTATATATAAATTTATTTATTTTTAGTTTTCAATATTTACTTCCACAAGATTTCGAGTTCCAAATTTTCACCCCATCTCACCCCTCCCCCTGCCCCAAGATGGCACGCATTCTGAATATCCCTTCCCCTACTCTGTCATCTCTTCTATCTCTCCCCCCTTCTCATATCCCCTTCCCCTTCTACTTTCCTGTAGGGCAGGATAGACTTCTTTTTTTTTTCCTTTGGTTAGGCAATGGGGTTAAGTGACTTGCCCAGGGTCACACAGCTAGTTACTGTTATGTGTCTGAGATCAGATTTGAACTCAGGTCCTCCTGAATCCAGGGCTGGTGCTCTATCCACTGCACCACCTAGCTGCCCCCAGGATAGACTTCTGTACCCCATTTCCTGTATTTCTTATTTCCCAGTAGCATGTGAAAACACTTTTTTAAACATATGTTTTTAAAACTTTAGGT